AGGCGAGTTGATCAGGTGCAGTAGTCAGGCCGACCAGTTGGATTCGACTTCGCTTTGCGCTTAGCATAGGTACATAACGCCAATTCAGGGGTATCTGAGGATGGGGCATGGTTGTTGGGAAGAGCAAGTAAGAGGTTTCCGTTTTGTCAGAATCAATAGTGATTGTTCGTCACATTGCAATGCCTTATAAAATCTGTAGACGGGCATTTCGAAGTGTCGATCAGGCACACGCGCCGATGGTTTTGTGTCCTGTGTGATTAGGGCTATAAGTAGCTTGTTTAGACTGAATGTACGAGATTCAGTCGATACCGACTCCACCTCGTGTTCTGGTGAGCACAGCGATAACATTTGGAAGTCGCTTCTACTACTGAGCTAAGCCAAAAGACAGTTGGCCGGTTCCTGTGAACCTGTACCGATAGGTTTCTTCTGTGCATTGGGAAGAATTGGTCATATCGTGACACATTGTCCGACGATGGTTAAACCGTCGCAGAACAGATAAATGAGTTTTAGTGAGACAGACTTGCGCTACGTCTACCGCATTCCCTCATCCCTCACTCACCTTGCTCCCACGACAAAAAATATCAAGGCGACGGAAGATGGGCACAATAACAGTGACTGACAAAGTTAAACGCGATCTGTTCCCCATAACATGTGCTATTTTTCTGCAAGAGCGAATGGAACCTCACATACCTGAGGGCGTCAGTCCTGAGAAGTACTGCTTTATCCTGTCAGTTGTCAACCTTCCAAGCCAGGACTCATACGGCTTGACAGATTCAAGCACTTCAGACTTATCATATAAATCTAATAATGTACTGTAAAAATTGGTGCTCCAGCGCCGGTCTCATTCATCCTTTTACGATTCACCAGTCGATCATCCTATCCTTCTCAATAAATGGACAATTAGGCTGCACGCAGGGTAGTCTACGTTTACAGCGCATCGTTATACGCATGTACGGCAGTAGTTAGGACTCTGTGCTACACAATAAACACGCGCCGTGAGCCGACTTGAACCCGCTTTGGTTTAGCGCAATCGCGTGTTGGGCCAACACGTAGACAGCGGCCATGTCGTGTTAATTGCTTTGTTCTGACCGGTCCCCAGTCAATCCGGCCTAGCCATGCCATTAAGGCATAACCACTGCTGGAAGCTGGTTCGCATCTAACGTAGAAACATCATTCTCCTCTTCCTCACTTATTCGTTGGGATTTCTTGAGTAACCATTTGACCATTCCACACGTGGCCAAGTCAACATTTAGAACCCCTTGTGCTGCTTAGTTTCCTGTTATCTGTTCAGCCATTCTCATTTGTTTTTTGTAGGCCACTTGTCTGCTCAGCGTGCCATTCTGGAGGCGCAACGTCTTCGCAGGAAACACAAGGAGTCCGTCGATGCATTCATTGAGGAGGCCTTTGTGAGGAGGGAGTTGTCGGACAACTTTTGTTTCTACAATCCGCACTATGATTCCATTGAAGGTAGGCACAACTCCCGCTTTCGTCTCATCACAATTCTTCGCACCACAGTGCTGAGGTGCCGCAATTGAGACACGGGACTGTTAGATCCCCGAGCTCCTTGGCTCCCAGTTGTGCATTGCAGCGATTTCAAAAGCAAAGCCAGAAAGACACGGGAACGAGAATCCCCCCGCCTGTCATAGAACTAGCCTTGAAAATTATTAGCCCCACTGTTGCAAACGGTTGAGGATGGTGGGTTACTATCCCTATAAAGCAAGTTGGGGCCATCCAAGAAGTAAATGAGCTTCTATCAAGGGTAAATGTAGCCTTGTAAATATTGTCTTTGTATAGTTGAATTTCTGTCTGCTCAGATCGACGCCGAGATTAGTTGTTATGTCTAGCAGAGATCTCGGGGGCCCACCCCAGAATACACTTCCACTCCGGACTATGTTTCAATGATCTTCTTAGTACGGCTTTTATGCGGGAAACTATTATCCTCATTTAAATGCCAGCCGTGGGAGGCGCAACATACCACCCGCTCAACTTTTTGAACTTTTAAAACTGACGCCCTCCGTAAGCACTGGACACCGGTGCACAAATGAGGCATTCTATTCACTCTTCTCGCGCTTATGCCGTCGTACTCGCGCTGTTGGTGGTTTTTCTAAGGCAATCGCCTGATTTTTTTTAATACGGGCGCGGCTGGTTTCTTATCACATTGCACCAAGCATAGGAGGCTCGTAATGTCGCTATCAAATTGACCTCCACGTTATTCCGGTCTTGTCATCACCATCTTGGTAAGGTCCATTAGCGAGCGTTGAGCCCTTTCGGTTTGAGTCCCAGTCGCCTTATACGAAATCTCCGAGTCGGTAGGGTGCAACATGGATGCCGCTATGAAGCGGTACTCCGCACAACCAGTGTGCTCATCAAAATTTCCCATAAAAACAGCGTAAGGATGCCACTGTCCCTCTGCTAACTCAGCCCACGCTTAAGGCGAATAGGAATAGTTACTAACTTCGGAAACGCTAACAGTTTACCCGGCCTACCCCAAGTGTCGAGAGTATGAAAGCTCTAACTAACTGTCTTAACCGTTTCTACATCATTTCAGGTGCCTGGTCATGGGCACGGGAGACCCTGCGAAAGCACGCATCAGATGAGCGCAAACCGGCTTATGCCGCGGAGACGATGGAGAAAGCCCAAACAAGTGACGACCTATGGAATGCGGCGCAGCGCCAGCTCCTCACAGAAGGCAAAATCCACGGCTTCCTGCGCATGTACTGGGCCAAAAAGATACTCGAATGGCATGCTGAGGGGCCGGATGCTGCCCTCAGATTGGGCCTGCGCCTCAACGAC